GGGGGTTTTTTTTTTTTTTTTTTTTTTTTCCTCCTTCCTTTTCTTCTCCCCCTTCTTCGCTGCTTTTCAAGTAGGGAGAAGGATTTGCCATTTTCCCGGCTCGGTGCCGTTGCCTGCGCTTTGTGCGTGTGGAGGGGCCGGGAAGGCGCCTGCCTGGCCGAGCGGGGCGCTACCTGTTGCGGGTCGGCTCATGAGCCCTGCCCGTGCTGTGTCCCCCGCGCGGCCGCGGGCTCCCCGGGTCCCCCCTGCCCTTGGCTGTGCTCCAGAGCTGTCCTTCAAATGACAGCGGTTACAAGGAGCTGCCCCGGCTGCTCCCCATCGTGCGCCTCCATGCGCAGGCGGTCGAGAGCCTGCACGCTGCCGAGCCAGAACGGAGAGCACGGCTCTGCGTGGGTCCTCCTCCATGGCTACCACTTTCTAGTTCTGATCCCTTATTTTTCTCTTGCATTTTTTTTTCCACCCAAGTGCTTGATTTTCTGGCTTGCTGTGGGTAGCGCCTGTTGATCTCCCCTTGTGTGCACTTCGCTTAAGCCCGTGAAGGCTCCACGGGCCTCCAGGGGGGCTGCGTGGTGGCTGTTGTCTCTGAGCGGCTGTAGCTCCTCATCCCCCGGATGGGGGTTGGCTCCTGCGCTTGTTATGGCGTGAACGCGCCTGGGTTGTTGCCTCCTGCAGCCCGGTTAGGAGTGGAGTGACCCCCTGCCATGGAGGTGGCTGGGGGGCTGCATTGCTCTGCTCCAAGGCCGGGTCCCGCCGCCTGGCCAGGGCAGCGTGTGACGCGGGCTGTTTGGTTTGCACCTTCCCAGGCTTTAACCAGGAGAGATCTGCAGGCAGCTCCACCATGTCGGACAGTGACCTCGGAGAGGACGACAGCGCCACGTCCCTGGACCTGTCTCAGTCGAGCAAGAGGAAAAGGAGGGGGAATCTGCCCAAGGAGTCTGTGAAGATCCTTCGGGACTGGTTGTATGAGCACCGCTTCAACGCCTACCCCTCTGAGCAGGAGAAGCTCAGCCTCTCGGGACAGACCAGCCTCTCGGTGCTGCAGGTCAGAGCCGATCCCTGCAACCGGCCGTGGCACATGCGCGTGCGCACGGGCTCGGGGTGACAGGCTGGGAACGCTCTGCAGGGTGCTCTGTGACAGCACTTGGGACAAGCTGGTCTTGCAGAACTTCCCTGAAGAGCCTGAGCGACTTTGCAGGCTTTAGGTGTTGCTTCTCCTGGTCCTTGAGAGCAGGAGAAGCCTTTGGGAATCTTTGGAGGGGAAAAAACTGCTCCTTGAGAAAGCTGTGGAGGCCTGGGGGTAGATGGGCTGTGAGCCCAGGTGGACCACGAGCATCAGCTTGCCCTGCTGTCTCCTCCTAGATTGGTTGCGTTAAGGGGAACGCAAGCCAGCTGAAGGGCTCCCAGCAGCTTTTCCTTGCAGCCTTGGCTGGATTTTGGTGTCACCTTCTCCATTGTGCTGGGGTGGTGAGAAGGACCTGGCTCCGTGGTGGAAGGCAGGCCTGGGGCTTGACTGCCTGCAACTTTGTGTTGCTGGGAGCCACACGAAGGCCAGGAGCCCCTGGGCAGGGGGCCCAGGGCCCCGTGCCTGCTCTCTCGCCTGCTCTTTGCTCATCCCTGGAGCAGTGCAGGGTAGGAAATGGCTCTTGTGCAGGGTGGGAGCAGGCAAAAGCCAGGGGGCTCGTGGCAGAGCTGCTCTCCTGGGGTTTCCTCTGCAGCACACTTCTCCTTTCCCTGCTGCTCAGTGCGGCTCTGGCCGGCAATCCCAGATGCTGGTGTGTGGGCTGTGTCAGTCTGTCTGGTTTCCTTCTCCCTGACCAGCAGGGCAAACTTTCTTTGCAGTTTTTATTTATTTAAATGCTGACTGTGTGACAGATTCATCTCTGGCCAGCCCCCGGGGCACTGCTTTGAGGGAAGGTTGGTGGTCCTGGGGTGGCTCGAGCTGGATCAACTGGGTTAGAGCTCTGATGGGTTTGGGGCCCTGCAAAGATGCTCTTGTCCCGGGCTTGGTCCCGCACAGTGGGAAGGTCCTTTGTGGATGGCACAGCAGGTGCCCGGTGTGCTGGGGGTCTCCACTGTGCTGGATTGGCCTTGCTGCATGCGCTGGCCCTGCGAGGGCACTGCGGTCCTGCCAGGAGCTCTCTGAGCTCCTCGGGACCAAGTCGGGCAGGTGCAGCGTGTCTGTGGGGCCTGGCCTTGTGTGAGGTTTGGCCATGCCTTGCACCTGCCTCTGGCCGTGCGCAGGGTGTCCTTGCAGCCACTGGGTGCTGTTGGCATTCCTTCTGCAAAATGCAGCCCCTCTGTG